GGTGGGACTAGGGTGCTAATGAAGGGATTGAGGGAGTGGATTTTTTTCTCTTCCAGTCTTCTGCCCTATGGGGACACCTAGAGGGTGCCATTATGAGGAACAAGCTTTCACCAAACACTGAATCTGCTGGCACCTTGATTTTGGACTTTTCAGGCTCTAGCACTGTGAGAATAAAAATGTCTGTTCTTTATCAATTACTCGGTCTCTGGTACTTTGTTTACAGCAGTACAAAAGAAGGGGGAAGCATCTGAAACAACAGAGATCTCAGGGCTCAATATAATTTGATGCCTACCAGCAATGGGGGCTATTTCCATCATGCCAGTAATTGTCTCTCACATTGTATACCTACTTGCAGAGTTTTATAATCTAAAATTCCAGTTGCTACCTCTGGGTGGCAATGAAATGTCTGTAAAACTTATTTATTTATTTATTTTTGGATTGGCGTTTCACTCTGTCACCCAGACTGAAGTACAGTGACTGCTCCCGGCCACTGCAGCCTCGATTTGCTGGGCTCCAGCAATCCTTCCGCCTCAACCTTCCAAGTAGCCAGAACTACAGGCGTGTGCTACCACACCCGACTAATTTTTTTGATTTATTGTAGAGATGAGGTCTCACCAAGTTGCCCAGGCAGGTCTCGAACCCGCTGGCTCAAGTAATTCAGTCACCTTGGCCTCCCAAAGTGCAGGATTACAGGCTGAGCCACCAAGCCCGGCCTGTAAAACTTATAATAGCCTGTAATAGCTTGCTTAATATAAATAACTGCATTTTTGTTAAAAAAAAAACCCTCCATCTTAGCTGCTTGCTACCCAGATATAGCCCCCCTCCCCCATGTGTGAGTAAAATAAGTTTCTTGTACTCACAGACACACATTCCTGTTTCCCATAAACTGTTTCTCCTGACTGTTTAGAAACTCCCTAGTCACAAGTTCCATGTAATTGTATGCTTTGTTAACTAAACTCAAATGTTATGCCTTGCAAAACTCCATTGTTACATTCTCATATTATAAGCTTATATTTTGTTAGTGACCTAAGCAAGGTAACTCTGTGACCTAACCAAGGTAACTCCATTGTATAGTAGTCCTTCCACCTTGTCTCAATGTAACTGCCCTAATTGTTCCAGTCACCGACTGTGCCTGGGACATAAAGTTAATCAAAACTCCCTAACAATCAAAAGTTTCCATTTTGGTTGCTAAGTTGCTAGTTTATGGTTGCTATGACTTGCCAAGTGGCTATGTATCCTTGCGGTTTTTGCCTTTATAAGCCCACATGCTTCACTCGGGGCCGAGAGCTCTTTAGGACAATAGTCTGCTCTCAGTCACCAGCATAAATAAAGGACTCTTAATTAAATTCTCTGCATAATGGCAATCTACCTTCTTGCACTCCAGTCATAACAAGAAGGGTTTTTTTGTTTGCTTTTCTTTTGTTTTTTTTTTTTGAGTTGGAGTCTCACTCTGTCACCCAGACTGGAGTGCAGTGGCCGCTCCCGGCCACCGCAGCCTCGACCTGCTGGGCTCCGGCGATCCTTCCGCCTCAGCCT